TGGGGATCCAGAATACAATTTATCAAAGGGCTAGGAGTCCCTTGGTGTTTTGGGAATTTCTGTTTTGGGGCAGGTACACAAACCTTCCTGGGAAGATTCTTAGAGCCTTACTTTTTAAGAAGAGAATGTCTATTTGCAGAAAAACAACTCCTGGGAGGAAAACTACCTTCCCCACTTCTACATAGGGCAAGGTTTTATTCTGGAAGCGAGGGGAGATGGCCCTTCTTTAATCCTACCAGCAAAATGATTATTGCTAGGTAAGCAGGCTAGTTGAAGGGGGACTCAACTTATCTAATCATACTTAACCTGAGGTGTAAAATCCAAGGCATGGGGAATGCTATGGACTGAACTGTTTCCCCTGCAAACTCATGTTAAACCCCTAACTCCCAATGACTGTATCTGGAGATAGGATCTTTGGGAGGTAATTAAGGTTAAATGAGGTCATAAGGGTGGGGCCCTAATCCAATAAGACTGTGACTTTATAAAAAGAGCAAGATCTCTCTTCCTCTAGCTCTCTCTCTGCCATATGAAGACACAGCGCGAAGGTGGCTATCTGTAAGCCAGGAAGAGAGCCCTTACCAGGAACTGAATCAGTAGAACCTTGATCTTAGACTTCCCAGCCTCCAGAACTGAGAAATACATTTCTGTTGTTTAAGCCATCCAGTCTGTGGTATTTTGTTATAACAGCCCAAGCAGACTAACACAGCGAGATCCACTAGAAACCAATAAAATTAACCACAAAACAGCATGGCCATCCCTCACAAACTGCCCACTGTATTCTCAATTGTAACCTCGAATCTGTATTTACACTCCTCATCTTGAAGTTCCTGTGAAATGAATTCTTATGAACTAGGATCTGCTGTGTATGATCAACTGCCAAAATGTGGCAATGGGAAAACATGAACACAGTGAGTTCAAATTTCCCTGTAAGGTGACTGTCGGAGAGTGACTTGTGGTTGAATATTGGGTGTTTGCAAACTTGGGATTTTTCCCCATTACACTAAAAGCAGTCGTGTGTTTGTTGGTTTTACCTCTGTCTTCGTGGAAATTCAACTTCACTATCTACTTCCCCTTCTTCCTCTTCTGAGGAGTCATCTCCACTCTGAGAAGAACAAAGGAGAAAAAGTTTATTTTACTGTCTCTCTCTCACCCCCACCTCCCACTACCTGTAAAGGATTTAATTATCACCAAAAAGCACTGAGTAGTAGTTGCTGAATGTCATCTTTATTTTTTATTTTTTAGAGACAGAGTCTCATCCTGTTGTCTAGGCTGGTCACAGACGCCCAGGCTTAAGCAATCCTCCCGTCTCAGCATACTAAGTAGCTGGGCCTATAGGCATGAGCCACTGTGCCTAGCTCCTGAATGTCATTTGTAAACATATATACCCTCATTCATTCATTTAGCAACTTTTCTTGGGTGCCCATGATGACAGACCCCGTATTAGATGCTGGAAGACATGTGGAACGGAGCCAAACTTTATCCTTGCCTTCAGGGAGGTGAAAGCTCCATGGAAAGTGTCCAGAGGTGAGTGATGGAGAGGGAAACTGGAGAGGACGTCTTGGATTTGGGGACAATCTCTCGTAATCATTGCCACTAGTGGTTCCAGGTTCTGTCACAGAGATTTCACCAAGAAGTGATCTTTTGATTCTTTAAAGGCCAACAACCACTTTTTTCCCTTTTTATACACCAATTACTTTTCCACTAATATTATAGTTATACTAAAACATACATTCTTTGAGGGTCAGACCGTATTGTGTTTGTATTGTATTCCTCACTCTCCCATCAATGCAACACTGCATACAAAATAGGTGCTTATCCCCATAAATATTTACAGTTATTATTTGCCCATTAAAAGAAGGCACTTAATGCATTTTTATTGAGTGAGCACATTTGCAGCAATAAGGGAGCTCTGGCTGGGCCACCTGAGGTCCTGTGATTGCTGGGGCTCTATGTTTGATCTGGAAGGCTGGGTAAGTGACCCAGCAAGAAGATGATCTTCTCTTATAGAGAAGATCTCATCTCCATCAAGGGCATAAGAGCAGCCACATGTAAGACCAACTGTCCTTAACCATAGTGTCATATTACACTGGATTACCCAATCTCTTATGAGGTGGGTAATTGGTCCAAGTAACTATAGCAAAGACTGAGGATAATGTCCCTTTTTAAAAGTCAGTTCTAAAATATCATGACTCTTACTCATTTGTAATCTGATGTGGTTTTAAAAATTTATTTATTTATTTTTAGAGACAGGGTCTCATTATGTTGTCCAGGCTACAGTGCAGGGGCTATTCACAGGCGCAATCATAGCTCACTGCAGCCTCGAACTCCCAGACTCAAGCGATCCTCCTGCCTCAGCCTCCTGTGCCACTGTGCCCAGCTGATATGTTTCTTTGAATAGGAAAGACAGGGAAGGAGTTATCCTGACTGCTGAGATGAGCAGTTACCCTAGGAATACCTGTGGGAGTGTGTCTTGATAAAAAGAAGTTGAGCTGCTCTGTGGGAGTGAGGTTCTAATGAAGCCAAATGTACAAAGTATGTGCTCTGTGGCCTGTAGACCCACAGATGGCATCAAAATGGCATCAGGATGGTTCAAAGATACATGTTATTTGGGGGAGACTGGGGAATGGGATGAGGGTATGGGGTTTCTTTTTGGGGTGATGAAAATGTTTTAAAATAGATTGTGGTGATCATTGCATAATATTGTAGATATAAGGCATTGAATTGTACACTTTAAATGGAAGGACTATATGGTATGTGAATCATATCTTAATAAAGTTGTTACCAAAAAATACATGTTACTGGCCATAGGGGTAGGGGGAGCTAAGAATGGATTAGCCCAAGTCAACTGCACAATTTGAAACACAATTTAATCTCTGGGAATGCTTAGTCAGCATAGTAGCAGCAGCGTATGTTGAGGAAGAAATACAGTTCTGAGACAGTAGCCCTCAGCTTCAACTTCTTGTCTACTAAATGTCCAGTTGACCAAACATACTCATGTACATTTCATACCCTTTCATTCCTTCAACTAAATTCCTGATGAACAATGATGATCATATGAAACAATACTTAGAATTGGGTGGGTGTCTACCATGTTCTAAATACTTTTCATTCATAATCTTATTTTTTTAACTCATTAGCAAAATGAGCTAATATTTTTGGAAGGGTGCTATGTTCCAGGTCCTGTTCTAAAAGCTTATATGTATTAACTCATTTAATCCTCACATCAACCAGTGAGGCAAAGTCCAATATCAGACCCGTTTTATAGGCAAGAAAACGGAAGTTCATAGAGGTACTGAGTGGAAGAGAGCTGTGGTTTGAATTAAGATCCATCTGACTCCCAAGCTCATGATCTTTCTATGGCAGTCTGCCTCTCAGCTGATAAACCCCAGGCAACTGGTGGATAAACAGGAGAGAACAGGTTTCAATGACTAAGAACTGGCTGGGTCATGATGGTTATTGATTAAAGCAATGTTTTCCAAAGTATATTGTGAAGAAAGCTAGTTCCATGGTGGATTAACAGGCTTTATTTTTTAAAGGCTGTATGGTCAAATAGCCAAGGGAAATGCTGGATTAAACAAGGATACTGCATGATTTCTTAAAGCCTACGATTTGTTAATGTGCACTAAGAATCTGCAAGAGAGGACAGAGAACATTATGTTTCTCAAACTCATTTTATCATGGAATCCTTACTTCTTGCAACATCCCTCAGGACTTAGAGTTTCTAGGGTAGTGTTTCCAAACTATCTTGATTACATATCTCCAATATATGGTTGGTTATCTATTTATACATTATATACATTTGGATCCATACCCCAGTTCCGTAGTTCCTAAAGTGTACTCCCTAGTCCATCACTTAAGCAGTTTCAGAAGAAAGCATTTAAAGTAAAAGAAACATCTACTTATGTTTTTGTTATCTCATCCTTTTACAAAACACATACTTTTTACGTATGCTTTATAATGTATATAGCATGGCAGGCTCTGATATACTTTGAAGGCAGTGACACAGACTACTCTTGTCATCATACTTTACCTTCTGAAGAGGCCTTGTTTTTCGAGGTAGCACTGGGGGAGTGATGTGATGAGGGGTGCCAAGGGATGACGCAGACCTGCAGCTGTTGAATCCATTTTCTTCCATTTTCTGAGAACCCTGGGCATTTTCTGAGAGGGGATTGTGTGCTGGTGACTTGGAAAGGTCGGGGCTCCTCCCCACTGGCTCAGTAGAGGATGTGTCCAAGGACCCAGACTGTTCTGGCCTGCACTGGAGGCAGGGGTCATAGGGGCCAGCGTGGCCTCTGTCTGGCTCAGGACTTCTCCAGCAATCTGCCACCATAGCTGTGGAGATGAGGTCAGGGCTCGAACCAGGCATCTGTCTCTGAGCGTGGTTGCTGAGTGGGCTTCGCAGGGCTGCTGCTGGGCCAAAGTACCTCAGGTTGTTAGCGCAGGTTGCAATGTCCTGGCCGTGCATGTTGAGTCTGGGATGGTGACTCTGAGACACGGCAGGAGGGGGTTGCTGGTATTGCTGCTGCGGAAGATTATGGTGATGGAGAGAAGGGTATTGGGATTGAGCCTGGTGTAGGTGAGTAGGATGGTGTGAGTTTTCCTGGGCTGGCTGGTTTTTCAGGATTGCTGCAAAGTCACTATGGCTGCCTCTGCTATTCCCCCGGCGGTGACGAGGTTTGCATCGATACCGGCTCTTGCTGCTTGAGGTGGACATTTTGGGACTTCCGGACAAAGGGGATGCCGTGGGAGCCACTTCTGTACTAGGGATGCCTTCAGATCTCAACAGATCTGGCCTGGGAGAAAAGTACAGGTTTAGTTTTAAACACATAAAAACACATTCGAGTTTGGGGAAATGTTCCCAAGCCTTAAAATACACATACCCTTTGAATCAGCAGTCACATATATAGGGATTTATCCAATGGAGATAACATATGTGCAACAAAAATGTATGTTTGATGATGTTATGTTACAGTATTGTTTAACATAGTAGAAAATAATATAATGTCCACTTATAGAGGAGTCCATAATTCCTTCTAGATTTTATTCTGTGCCTCATCAGCGTAGGTACTCATCCTCTTTATTTTTATTTGATATATTTTTTTTGAGAGAGATCTCACTCTGTCACCCAGGCTGGAGTGCAGTGGCATGATCATAACTTGCTGTAACCTCCAATTCCTGGGCTCAAGTGATCCTCCCACCTTAGCTTCCTGAGTAGCTGGGACTATAGGTGTGTGCCATTACGCCTGGCTAATTTTTCTATTTTTTTGTAGAGACGGGGTCTTGCTATGTTGCTTGGGCTAGTCTCAACTCCTGGCCTCAAGTGATCCTTCTGCCTTGGCCTCCTAAAGTCTTGGGATTACAGGTATGAGTCGCTGTGCTCAGCCTCAATCCTCTTTAAATTCTATTCTACAGGTTTCTTGATCTCTTCCTCATTACCCTAGCTGTTAGCTTGGTACCAATATGCTAAGGTATGGGCATAGATGTCTGTTAATCATCAGAAATCTGTCTGATGATGGATCTGGGCAGATCTCCCAAGGGATAAAGGAAAGAGGTCTGGTATTAGAGGAGGAAACCTCAGGTCAATTAGGTGAGAGGCTAAGTTCAGAGACTTTGGCCTAGACATGGTCTCCTTAAGGGCTAGGAATATGTGCTGCCCATTTTTGTATGTGATGGACCCTAGTAAGGTGCCAGTAAATTTTGAAGGAAGGAAAAGAGGGGAGGGGTCAGAGAAGGGGGAAATAGTAGAGAGCCCAGGAGGTTGAGCAGAGGCAGCAAGAAGAGGGCTAGTAAGGAGTGACACTGGCATTTGTCTTTGATCCTAAAAGGAGGATGTCCTTTCATATCCCTGTTTTCAAACGCCTGTTGGGCCAGTCACTAAGATCATGGGCATGAGGAAGCCAGAGGCCGGAAGGTAAACCTTGCCCACACTGACTCCAAGGCCCATAGGTAAACAATAAATAGTTTCTCAACTGCCGTACTGATTCAGGGCAGAGCCTCTGGGATTACTAGGAAGAACCACTACTTTCTTCTTACCAGCAGTAGGAAGTAGCTTTACCCTTCTTTGGGACCAGACAGACACAAATCAGCAGGAGATTTTAGAGCTGGAGGGTTCAAACTTTTTTTTTTTTTTTTTTTTGAGACAGAGTCTCACTGTGTTGCCCGGGCTAGAGTGCCATGGCGTCAGCCTAGCTCACAGCAACTTCAAATTCCTGGGCTCAAGCGATCCTCCTGCCTCAGCCTCCCGAGTAGCTGGGACTACAGGCATGCGCCACCATGCCCGGCTAATTTTTTCTATATATTTTTAGTTGTCCAATTAATTTCTTTCTAATTTTAGTAGAGACGGGGTCTCACTCTTGCTCAGGCTGGTTTCAAACTCCTGAGCTCAAACAATCCGCCCGCCTCGGCCTCCTAGAGAGCTAGGATTACAGGCATGAGCCACCGCACCCGGCCCAAACTTTTTTGTTTTTTAACAACAGAATTCTTTTCTCAAATTAATTATTATTAGAAACCCAGCATATAAAACAGATATAGTGGAACTGGTTGGCAGGGGGGTGAGCAGAAGCCCCTCCCTGCAGGGCTCCCCCTCCTCACCCTTTCTACCCCTGCAGTGGCCTCTGAGACACCTCTGTGCAAGCCATTGGGTATTCTAGACCTTGCCTGGAAACCACAGATACAGTCCTGCCTCCACCATATGCGACGAAGAACCCAAAACCCAGCCAGAGTGGCTCATGGTCTCATAGCTCATTAGTGGTAGAATCCAGACAAAAAGTCTCTCCTAGTTTTCAGCCTAGCTTATTGGACAGTCAGAATACAAAGTTGAAGGCACATACAAATCACTTGGGGAGATTATAAAAGTGAAGATTTTGATTTAGTAGGTCTGGGGAGGGGGCTAAGAGCCTACAATTTTAATAAGCTCTCAGAAGTTGCTAAATTAAGGACCACACTTTGAATAGCCAGAACTCACAAGAAATACGTAGGTATCAGGCAGCTGGAGATGCGTTTTTCTTCTTTTATAGGAAAAGTACAGTTAAAGGCTTGTCTAGCACAGAATTTTCAGGTTTTATGGGTTTGTGATAAGGTGGGTAGGATATTGTGCTGCTATCAGGAGCTTCCTGTTCCAGATTCAAAAATCTACGGTTAGTTGGCCAACTTATGCTGCAGAAAATACTTGGTTCCTATTATTACTATAACCATTTTATAGGTAAGGACACCAAGGATCAGAGGTCAGTTGACTTGTGTCCATCACAAAGCTAGTAAATGACAGAACTTGTAACTTGAACCCAAGTCTTTTGACTCCAAGGCATAGTTCTTTCCCCGTTTCAAGCTTCTCCTTCTGGGGTATTTAGGCTACCTTACTGGACTATACTCACTTGTGACAGGCTTGGAAGATCTGTAATTGAACTCGACACGCTTCAATTTAGTGTTTAGTCCCTAACTAAACACAAGCTGAAACCTAGGCTTAAGGATGCCGAATGGTTTCTCCTCTCTGATCCCCTCCAAAGTCTCTGGACATCTCACTTGGTAATCATTGGACTCTCCAAATAATCTGAAACTTAAATCCTTCAAGGAACCAATGGTACAACTCTTTGCAGTGTGCCTTCCTTGTGTTCAGCTAGTTTATTTACTCAGTGTCTACTGGTGGTGTCAAACTCTCTCAAACATTTCTCGCAGCTAAAATAAAAGTAAACATGAGCTCATATATTGAAAAGTTAAATAGTTCTATTTTCTCCCCCCAGTGTTCTTGGTTTTAACTGTAGGCAGAATTCAAGGGGGAGACAGCAGGCAGACTCTGTCCCTAATTAGTAAAACAAAAGAAAAGAGGAGTTGGGATTCCCCCCTGAGGGTGGTGCCAGGTGCCATCTGAAAAAAGTTGCTCAGAATTTGACCAGAAGATGATTAGGGGCAGTTAATAAAAGCAAAATTGGATTAATCCATGTAGTTACTCATTAGTAGTTTAGGTTTATATTGGTCATGCTATGGTAGAATGGCCACCATTCTGATAGCCTTCTAATACATTCTCGGTTTGTGTTTTCTCATTTCCTTTATTCTTACTACAGTTAGCTCACGTATCACTACTAGGTCTACACCCCAGGTTTAGGGACATTTCTTTCCTTTACATTAACTCAGCTAGGATAGAACCAATTCTGTGTTATTTGGAAGGAATGAAACTCCACAGAGTTTGGTAATAAAAAAATCAGCGGCAACGAATGTCAAGATTAAACTAATATAAGGCAAATGTGTAGGAAAACGGGAAAGTGCCATCTTTTTTACTATTCAAAAATTCATTTTTTGATTTGATGGGTAATTTCACATGTTATCTTACTTAAACTTCACAAAAATCCCCTGCAGGGGTGAGATGAGAGAAACTATATGGTTAGATATAGGTAATTATCCAAGCTCCAGCTTCTGTTTTTGGTGGTGAGTTTGTAGGCACTTATTACATTATTAAAGAGAACTACTTAAATGTATAAACAAAAGAGGGTCATGCATGGACCACTGTGTCATAAATCAAGAATTATGATTAACTCAGTTCTGTGTCCTAGAGTTCATAAAAATAAAAAGAAATCTCGTGTGCTACAATTATACCATTTTACCCATGAGCACACTGGGGTTGAAAGAAGTCAAGCCACACAGCTTACAGGGCAGGGCCGGGATTTGAATCCTGGTCTGTCTGGCCTCCAGTTTATTTCTCTTTCCACCATTCCACGCTAAGATAATACATATCTATGCCTCAGATAGTAAAGGCTAGATCCCTGGAGTCCATCACGCACCCTCTCTTTCATCTAGAACCGAGTGTGCTAATGATGAGCTACAGAAGTGGCCACATCCACCATCCTGTGAGAGTGGATTTTTAGGGGGCTATTTTCCCATTCATCTGAGTATCACATTAGTGCGGGTGTCTCACCGTTTGGTCTGCATCCCAGGTTTGTGAGGCACACTTTTCCTTTTCATAAGTTTCTCCATGGCATTGGGGTGGATTATTGGACGGACAGGGTGTCGTTTGTAGGTCCCAGGATACTTCTTTTCCACTGCTTGCTCACGCCTGGAGAAAGAAAGAAAAAGTCACATCTCGGTCACTGCGGAAAGGATGGGCAAAATGTTTTCACAGATTAATTCTATCCATGGATTCTGGCCACAGTTAAGAAAAATAGGTATTTGGATAACAAGGCTGCTATTCAGGTTAAAAAAATAAACCAAGATACCAAATTCAAACGAGCCTGACTTCATTCTGCCCTTTAGCTCATGAATTTAGATGCTGACACCGACTTTCCCTTTTCCAGCAAAATACAACGGCAGAAGTCCTGCTTATTTTCAGTAGCTGCTGTTTTGGTCAGGACCCCAGAGTTTTCTTGCCACCATTAGGAATTCCTTAAGCCACGTTCAGGGGCCAATTTATTTCCCCAGGGGGCGATAAAGTTCCTCTTATCCATTCCAAGCTCCTCCTGAAATGAGGGCCCCTCCTCTGAGCTATGCAACAGGAGGAAGTGCAAATGCCCGTCAAGTGCACGTTCCCCTATAACTTGCTCTGCAGCGAGTCCACTAACATGTCCACCTCACCGGGGCAGGCACCTCACAGCACATCCCTTAAAGAATGTTGAATGACTGAATAAAATATCTGCCAGTTCCAAGTAGCAACAACATGGAAGAATAGTACATTTCTGCTGATTGAGAGACTCAAATCAGTAAGGACAGACACTGGTCTGGATACATACTTAATGAGCTCCTTCTCCCGCATTTCTAGCTGCAGCATGATGGCACTCAGTTCCATGTACAGATTATTAGCCCGCTCAAGCTTTCTCTCATAGTGTTCACGAATATCCAAAGCATGCCTATCAAAGAAAACACAGGATCAGCAGGCCAACTAACCTGGGGGAGAACAAAGGTCAGCTCAATGAAATAAGAAACAGGTGGTTTATCACACAAGCATTTGCCCAAGGGCCCCTGTTTTTAACGCTCCCTTGTCCAATGCGAGGACTCAGACAAGATGGAGTGGGAGATGGGAAATCTAAGCTCCCCACTTGATTTATCCTTAAGGGTCCATCCACCCATCTAGAATAGCCAAGAGGGCCACAAACAAAATCTGAGTGTGATTTGTGTATAATCTGTAGCCTTCAGCTTCGTAGTGTTGGCAGTATTTCAATAAGAATACAATATAATACACGCACATGTTAATGGAAATATGCAGTTAAAATCAACACCATGGTCACTCATTTAAGCTTATCTATGGCACAGATTCTGATACAGTGGTTGCTATGGTCTGAACGTTTGTGTCCCCCAAATTCACATGTTGAAACCTAACACCGAAGGTGATGGTATTAAGAAGTGGGGCCTTTGGGAGGTGATTATGTCATTAAGGTTCTACCCTTAAGAATTGGTTTAGTTCCCTTATTGAAAAAAAGAGGCTTGAGGGAACTTTTTTGCCCTTCTGCACATGAAGACACAATGAGCTACCATCTATGAGAAATGGGCCCTCAACAGACATGGAATCTGCTGGTGCCTTAATCTTGGACTTCCCAGCTGCCAGAACTGTGAGCAATAAATTTCTGTTCTTTATAAATTATCCAGTCTAAGGTTTGTTATAGCAGCTGGAACTAACTAGGATGTGACTATCTGTGAACATGCCTTTTATCCCTTGGATCATAGGCATCTTAAAGCTAGGGACTGAATCTTATAAATTTCTGTCCTTCCATGGCACCTAGGACAGTGACTGAATGAACAAATAGCATTGCTCCAGGAATCTTTGTTGCAGAGACATAATAAAAGAGGATAACAGAGTTGGGAGGAGAGGATAAGAGATATAAAGAAGGGTTAATTTTCAGGGAAACTTTTAAAGAGCATAACAATAAAAAAGCAGAGGTGAGAGGTGTACAGAAAGTGAAATGCTGTTTCACAAAGAGGGTTTTTGCTAATATCTGAAGACCTGGGGATGAGAGGAGGTGGAGAAGGAAAGATCAGCTGACCTGAGTTCCTCTCTGCGCCTTCGAATCAGTTCTTCATCTAATCGGTGTATACAAGTTCCTTCGCTTTTGATCTTCTCAAAATGCTTTTTCACCTCTTCTCTCCATTCAGCCTGGGTGAGGACAAATTAGATTTTGTTAATACTCTAGGAGTTTTTCTTTCTTTCTTTCAGACAGAGTCTCACTCTGTTATCCCTGCTAGAGTGCAGTGGTGTCATCATAGCTCACTGCAGCCTCAAACTCCTGAGCTCAAGCGAACCTCCTGCCTTGGCCTCCCAGAGTGCTAGGATTATAGGCATGATCCACCGTCCAGCCATAACACTCTAGGAGTTTCAATCCCTGATATACCCATGTATAACATGTACAAAATAATCACGTATAAGATTTTTTCCTGCATACTTCTACCAAACAGCCTTATTCAGAATAGATGTCCGGGGCTGGGCATGGTGGCTCATGTCTGTAATACTAGCACTCTGGGAGGCCGAGGTGGGAGGCTTGCTTGAGATCAGGAGTTCGAGACCAGCCTCAGCAAGAGTGAGACACTTTCTCTACTAAAAATAGAAAGAAATTAGCTGGCCAACTAAAAATAGAAAGAAAAAAAAAATTAGCTGGGCATGGTGGCACACACCTATAGTCCCAGCTACTTATGCCATGGCACTCTAGCCCGGGCAACAAAGCAAGACTCTGTTTCAAAAAACAAACAAACAAACAAACAAAAAAACCCTACAAAAACCCACAGAATAGATGTCCAATAAATATTTGTTGATTGATAGCAAAATGTCTCATGCTACTGTATCCACATGCCCTATCCCATATTCTACATTTCTACTCCAATATATGATACTGTCTTTTCCCCAGTTTTCCTGCAGCACTGGCCACCAGAAACATCACAGCTAGCATACTGGCCATCATTTCTGGAACAAAAGACCTCAATTTAAGTCAAGACGGTGGTAGAGATAGCCTGGCCAGAAAGAAAAAGCTCTGATGACCACATGGATACATGGATGTATCTGTGAGAATATGAACATCTTTACAATTGGCACCAGAATTCCTCCTAGGCTTTGTTTAGGAAACTATCTTGAGAAAATATTTAGCGTAGGAGACACTGGGGGCATTAGCAGCAGGAGATGGGAATAAAAATATAGGAAACTATCCAGGATTTTGGAGTTGAAGGAAAGAACAGAATAAAGAGAAGAATAAGGAGGAGGACAGAGAGTACAGCCAAGCAATTTAGTTGTCTGAAAAATTTTTTAGGATAGAGATGGATGTCTAACATGTGATATAAATTGTTTAAAATTTAAACTTCTTCCAATTTCATAAACCTTCAATAAAGTCTCTGACATTCACCTTGGCTTTAGATGAGTGTTTTTATTTATTTGTTTTGTTTTGTTTTTAGAAATTAAGGAAGGGTGCTGAATTTCACATTTGATCAATGCCAGGACAAAAATAGAGGAGCAACCATAAGGCAGCAGGGGTGGGGGCCAAGAATTTTAGGAAGGCAGGGCCACAGTGGTCATGAAACTATAGTTCTCCCAAGAATTTACAGAAGTATTAGAAAGGACATTGGACTTTCCACAGGGCATGGAATTTTAAACCAATTTTAGGGAAAGAAAACTTCTGTTAGAATATGGTCTATAGGCAGTTTCTAGAAAAACCGCTAAAAGAAGTTTCCTCATATTATGAATAGACTACCATCCCAAGGAGCTAATGAGATTAGGATAATTTCCAGTGAAGGCTAGATGTATAACTAAATGTCTCTAATTGTGTAATCTTCTCCTAAAACTATTTTATTACCTTTAGATTCATGTTATAAAGTATCTTCCTGTATGATATTATAGTTCTATTTTTAATTTGGTGAGGAACCTCCATACTGTTTTCCATATTAGCCGCACCATTTTGCATTCCCACCAACAGTGTACAAGTGTTCCCATTTCTTTACATCCTTGCCAACACTTGTCTTTTTTTTTTTTAATAACAATCCTAGCAATTCTATTTCTGGGTATTTATCCAAAAGAACTGAAATCAGGATCTCAAAGAGATACTAGCACCCCCAAGTTCATTGCACTATTCACAATAGTCAAGATGTAGAAATAACTTAAATATCTATCAATTGATGAATGGATAAAGAAAATGTATATACATATAAGAAAATATTATTCAGCCTTAAAAAAGGAGGAAATTCTCCATTATGTAATGACATGAATAAACCTTGAGGACATTATGCTCAGTGAAATAAGTCAGTTTACAGAAGAACAAATATTGTATGATTCTGCTTGTATGAGGTATCTAAAATAGTCAATCCCATAGAAGCAGAAAGTAGAATGATGGTTGCTAGGGGCAGGGGAAATGGGGAGCTGCTAATCAATCGGTATACAGTTTCACTTATGCAGGATGAATACGTTCCAGAGATAGATAAGCTATACAACGTTGTGCCTACAGTTAACAAGAGGCACATATACTACACACTTAAAATGTGTTAAGAGGGTAGAACTCATGTTAAGTATTGTTGCCACAATAAAAAAAAAATTATCTTTCTGGATCATGGAAGAAGCTATTCTTAAGTAATTGTGGGTTTAAAGAACATTTTCCCCAAATTAGCTGTTTCTCATCTATTTTTATGAAGGAAATTATATTTTAATTATGGATAAAATGATTGTCCTCCTTATCTGTTTATAATGTGCTAGATTTTCATATGTTGTTCATTGGTGATAACAACTGGAGATAAGTTTCTGCCAGTTGGTTGACTTTCAGGCACCAAACCTGCCCAACAGTCATCACAAAGTGAAGTTCCAGAATACACTACCCCATCATTTGATAATCATCTTTGACAGCAACTAAGCAGTAAATGAAGGTGTGGTTGAGGCATAGGTAATGCTGTTCTCTTAATCATCAGATTGAAGTCATGGAGTAGGAAGAGTAGCTTTAAGAGGCCAAAGAATGACAAGCGAATGTTGTTGACCAAAGAAGGATAAGGGAGAGGGTCAGATTTGGTCCTTAAGGGACCCTCTTTTGTGTAAAAACATGTCAGTGGATCCTAGTACAATACTTCAAGGACCAAGAAAAGGAATACCTCCCTCTGGTGGTAAAGAATCAAATATCACAGATCATGTTTTTTTTTTTTTTAATTCTAGAGGAAATAAGCCTTCTGAAATCTAGTTTATGGTTATGGGAAACTTAGAAACTTCTGAAGATTAAAATCTATAAGAAAGTAGATTTCCAAAAAGAATTTCCCACTGATCAAGACAAAACAGAATGTGTGGGAAAATACCAGGTACTAATAATGTGTTTTCCCCAAGGCATCGTGTTCTTGGTAGATGTTAATCTGGAGTTCTATCACGTATACTTATAATCTTTATGTAATAGGAGTTCCAATATGAGCTTAATCTGCAATTCAGACATGTCTGGGCATATCTGAAGAAATGGAGGGTTGGTGGGTGTGAAGCCAATTTGCACAGAGACTGAGGCGCCTCCGAGAGAACATGCCATGAAGGTAGGAAGAATCCTGCGTGAGCTTGATCTATAACAGCCACTGTCATAGGAGTGAGGAGGCATTTCCAATTGTTTCACTAAAATACCTGAAACACACTGGGCCATAACCAGCATTGCTCTGTTATCATTCATAAAGCAGAACTCAATAGGGAAAGGGACAGTTCACTGCCTAAACAGAACAACATGCAGCTTTGGAATCTTGAGAACTCCAGAGCTTCCGCTGCATCAGGAGATGGCAGCTCCCAGAGGGTGACGGCAGTGCGCTGCGGATATGGCAGCATCCAATGGATGCCAACTGGGGACTACAGCCTTTTAGCAGCAAATAGTGATGGCTAACCAACAAAGCAATACCCAGCAGATGCTAGGGGAGGAGACTGCTGTGTCTAGCCAGAGTCAGTGGAAAGCAGAGAAGTTAATACGAGGCTATTTGAGATCCCCACTCTTTACCTGGGATTCCCAAAGTGCCTGTGTAGGGGGTGAAGGAGTAGGGGAGTGCTTAACCAGGTACTTAAGTCCTGTGTAAGCAGGTAAGGGAAAAATCCAGTGAAACTTGGGTTATTTATTTATTTTTTTTGAGACAGAGTCTCACTCTGTTGCCCTGGCTAGAGTGAGTGCTGTGGCGTTAGCCTGGCTCACAGCAACCTCAAACTCCTGGGCTCAAGCAATCCTCCTGCCTCAGCCTCCTGAGTAGCTGGGACTACAGGCATGCGCCACCATGCCCGGCTAATTTATTCTATATATTTTTAGTTGTCCAGATAATTTCTTTCTATTTTTTTTTAGTAGAGACGGGGTCTCGCTCTTGCTCAGGCTGGTCTCGAACTCCTGAGCTCAAACAATCCGCCCACCTCGGCCTCCCAGAGTGCTAGGATTACAGGTGAGAGCCACCGTGCCCGGCTGAAACTTGGGTTATTATCATTAGTAATATCCTCTTTATGTCCCAGAAAAGACCTGGGAGAGTCCATAACATTTAGAAAGCTTTTTATCTTTTCCAGTCTCCCAGTTACTCAATCACTAGACTAAAGCTGTTGCATCCAAAACTTGCTTGTTTTATCTCCCATAATACAGTAGTCCCCCTTTATCCACGGTTTGGCTTTCTACAATTTTAGTTACCTGTGGTCAACCACACTGGAAGGTGTTAGGCTCTGCCCTCACGAACAGGATAAATGCCATTATGAATAGGCCCGAGGGAGCTTGTTCACCTTTCTGCCATGTAAGAACACGGTGAGAAGGCGGCATCTATGAACAAGAACTCAGGCCCTCACCAGACATCAAATATGCCAGTGCCTTGGACTTGATCTTGGACTTCCTAGTCTCCAGAACTATAAGAAATAAATTTCTGTTTGACAAATAAGCCACCCACTATTTGGTATTTTGTTGTAGCAGCCTGAACTGACTAAGACAGATGCCCAATGTACTAAGTTTTCTACTCCTCTCATATGCCCTCCTCTCCTGTCTTCTCTACTCTCACTTCATTTCCGATTCTTGCCCTAAGACAACCTTTCTGAGTTCAATTTTAATGCTCCATGCTATGAGTATCTTGAAAATAAAGATGAGATGGTTTAAGTGAAGGACCAACCGTGGTTACTTAGTTGTCCTGCTCAGTGCTTCGCACATGGTAGGTTCTCAGAAAATGTACTGGCTTCAGAAATAATATTTTTGGAGCACTTAAGTAATATCTGTTTAGAACATGAAGTTTTCCAAATATATACAGTTATACTGACTGGCTCAATGGTTTGTGACTTAGTACTCTCACCCAAAGTTGCTTTTCAAAACTGTGGTATGTATCGTTTTATTATAAAGGAAGAAGACTGTGATTGCAACCATATCCTACAGATTGAAAATTTCCTAGAGAGTACTCACTGTTATTCTCTTTCATTTTACAAATGGGTTAAGTCTTTTTCTACATAATAACAGAAGAAGGTATTTGAAAGATTTCTTACCCAGTGCCCCATTCCCACATGTACTTGAACAGATAGGCAATAGTTTTTTTTTTTTTTTTAACAAAAAAACAAAGGGTCTTGCTCTGTTGCCCAGGCTGGAGTGCAGTGGTGCAATCAAAGCTCACTAGAACCTTGAACTCCTGGGCTCAAGCAATCCTCCTGCCTCAGCCTGCCATGTAGCTAAGACTACAGGCACGCGCTACCACACCTGGCTAATTTTTAATTTTTTTGTAAAGACAGGGTCTCGCGTGATCCTCCCACCTCAGCCTCCCAAAGTGCTGGGATTACAGGTGTGAGCCACCGTGCCTAGCCACAATAGTTTTACTAGTTCTAAAGGCATCTATATGAATGCCTATCAAAGAACATAGCAAATGTCAGAATTCAACCTCCTACATCCTCTTATTTTCTCTAAAAGCAAACACTTTACTTACATAATAATTTCTAAGAAACACTGAAAAACTATAGGGGTAAGCCTGACTATTTAAAGATACAGTTGCGGGGAGAGCTAAGTTTTGGATCATAGAGAGATTGTTAGAACTCTGGGTAACAGGACAAGAGTCTCTGATTTACCACTCCTTAGAAACTGCAAAAAAAAGTATGCCTTTATTAAGATATTCCTCGACATCTAATGGTCAGTGTATCTCCCTGTTTATCAGATACCAGAGAAGCAAGTATCCCAAGCCTCTGGTGGAGGCAGGTAGTAAAGCATATTTGAGGACTTTTTCCACTCCCAGGGACGGTGCTCCTCTTAAAGACACTTTCCTGGTAGGTAAACTCACCACCCATTGGGGAAGGGGGCTATGAGAAGCAGGTTGAAACACCAGTTGATAATAAAATGTCTTTTCTGAGAATAGATCTTTGAAATGATACTGGAAGTCAGTGGGCAGATGCAATTCACTTTACAAAAATTTATATCAGAAACACAATAGCATTCAGTGAGACAAAGCTATATGAGAAATAAGAAATTAGGTAATACTATAGTTAAATTCTATAAGCATAAAGCTATAATTTAGGATCATCATGTTTATTTCAAAAGTCCTATTTCCTTCCCTTTTGATACTGCCTGGGTCTGGAGGGGATAAGGATCTTGTGTGTACTCATCTCCCACCACTCCCTATCCCTTATGATAGTGGTTAGATGACCAATTCTTAAGACATTTACAGCATTTTAATTTAGTAGCCATGAAATTCTTCCCCTCTCCAGATTCATGCCCTTACAATATGCTGTTGCAGATTCTCTCATCAAGAGGGGCAGCTTCTTTCTTAATGCTTAGAATCTGGGTTGGCCTGTGACTTGCTTTTGGCCAATGGGACATTAGCAGCCATAATGAAACATAGGCTTGAAAATCACTTGTGCATTGAGGTTGGCTCTCTTGCTGCACCTGTTACCCTGGAACACCATGTGAACACGTCCACGCGAGCCTGCTAAAGGACAGGAGGACACATGGAAGAGAACTGAGGTGCTCTAGCTAATAGCCAGCCAATCAGCAGACTTGTGAATGAGGCCTTCTAGGACCAGCCAGCCTCCCAGCTGACCTGGCAACTAACGACAAACACATGAGTGAGCCCAGTCAAAGCTGGCAGAATTGTCCAGCCCAAATTGCCAACTCACAGAATCGTGAGCTAAATAAATGCTTTTTGTTTTAAGCCATAAGTTTTGGGATAGTTTGTAGTACAGTAGAGGCTAACAGATACATTAAATTACATTTTATTCGGAGCTACTAGATAGCACGCTTAGAGAAAAAGTTCTCTCTGGGTCTATCATGGGCTCTTTCTGGTATTTAACTTCCCGCCTCTGTACTTCAGCTTTTCTACTTCAAAGAAAACAATACTTTCACGTATGTCAGCAGTAAGTCTAATTCAAATGTATGTATGTTATGGTTTTCATATCTTCTTTTCCTCTTTTCTCTTCAACAATTTCACCGGAACCCACAATAAGGATGAAATTCTGATACATGTTCTTTTCAAATGAGTTAATAATATTAGTGCTTTAAAAACTCTAAAATGTCATGTGTGTGAAGTATCATATTTATTGTTCCATAATGAATAGAGTTATGTAATTGTTATAACAACAGAATGGCCCCCTTCTAAGAGTGACTCTTTCTCATTTTGAGTTCCTTAACTGTCTGTTCAGTAGCACCTGGTAGAAAGTTTCCCAACTTACCTGAGACTTGAAGTAAGTTTCTTGTGGGGTGGCAAGTACATCTGCAGACGCGATGTCTAAGTGCATGAGCGTCTGCCGGAAAGAAGGTCGGTTGCGAGGTTTACTTTGCCTAAAAGTAAAAAAGACAGTTTGTGCATTTCAGAAATTGGGTGCAGGAGGATCAAGATTTTATTCTACTTTATGGAAAATATTTTTTACTATGAAATGTCTATATCTCAAAATAGCTATATCTGAGTATAACTGGCTGTACTCTGTTACACTCAGTACAGTTTAACTGAACTGTATCTCAGCACAGTTTTGATGTACTGAAGAGCAAAAGGAAAATGTAATTATGAGATACCTCTAATGATGGGAAATCTAGGAATAGTGACCTATTGACAATAGTCCATTAGGATTGGCAAAGAAAGAATAGCTATCATTTACTAAGGCCTATTATTTTGAGATAATCTATCAAATTATTTATAAATTTGAATTAATTATAACAAGTCAACTCTATGATTGGGCATTGTCTCCATTTTACAGATGAGAAAACTGATACTTGGATGACATGCCCAAAATTGCACAGAGAGAAAAGGACAGAGAGCTGGTATTGGTACCCAAGATCCTCAAACTCCAAGGCTTCTAGTTTTTCTACCACCAGGAGATTTGCCCCAAATACACATTAGAGACTTCTCTGCTGTTTTAGAGACAATATTCTTACCATGTCTGTTTCATAAGGATTTTGAATCCATCTGGGCAAGTGGAAGGAACTGGAAGGTGTAGGCTATTGCTTCCAACACCCCAAATAATGGCTGAAGAATCTACATCTTTGTAAGGGATCTCTCCTGTCAGCAGCTCCCACAGGACCACTCCAAAAGACCTACAGTAGTACCAGGAACATGTACAGAAGACATTTCAGAAATATTGACTTATATTTTAGTTCTTTATTAATTTTAATGAAATCAGTACATATTCCCAGTTTTAAAATTCCAATACCGCTATAAGAAAAGCAGAAGCATCCAGGAAAACTCAGAAAAAGAAAATCACTGTGGGGTAACCAAGATAACCAGATATTAAGATATATTATAAGGCCTCAGTAGTAAACTCTGGTACATGAATAGACAGCCAGACTAATGGACTGGACTAGAAACCCAGAAATAGACCAAATACATATAGGAATTCAATATATGATCGCAAATCCATGGGAAAAAATTGATTAGTCAATAAATGCTGTTGGAACAATTGGGGAAAATAATTAAATCTATACATCACCATACATCAAGATAAGTTCTAAATGAATCAAAGGTTTAAATGTAAAAAATAACATCATAAAAACCCTCGAAGAAAACATGTGGAATTAAAAAATAATAATTATCTTGGAGCGATGAAGCCTTTTAATTTAATTTAATTTTTTAAGCAACTGGTAACTGGTTGTGAGATGAAGGCTTTTAAAACTATGAAATCTAGAAGCCATAAGAGATTGAGAAATTAAACTGCATTAAAAAATCTGGCATGAAAAAATCATAAGCAAAAAAATCTGGCATGAAAAAAATTATAAGTAAAACAATAAAATGTGAAAAGTATCTATGATTTACACAAAAGACTAATCTCCTTAATATAAAAAACACTCTTATAAATTGATAAGAATAAAGATCAGAAAACTAAGCCAAGAATATGAATAGTTCACAAATAAGAAATTAC